ATCTTACCTGTTTTGTATATTATTGTGTTTATCACTCTGGACCGATCTTACCTGTTTTGTATATTATTGTGTTTATCACTCTGGACCGATCTTACCTGTTTTGTATATTATTGTGTTTATCACTCTGGCCCGATCTTACCTGTTTTGTATATTATTGTGTTTATCACTCTGGACCGATCTTACCTGTTTTGTATATTATTGTGTTTATCACTCTGGCCCGATCTTACCTGTTTTGTATATTATTGTGTTTATCACTCTGGCCCGATCTTACCTGTTTTGTATATTATTGTGTTTATCACTCTTGCCCGATCTTACCTGTTTTGTATATCATTGTGTTTATCACTCTGGACCGATCTTACCTGTTTTGTATATCATTGTGTTTATCACTCTGGCCCGATCTTACCTGTTCTGTATATTATTGTGTTTATCACTCTGGACCGATCTTACCTGTTTTGTATATTATTGTGTTTATCACTCTGGCCCGATCTTACCTGTTTTGTATATTATTGTGTTTATCACTCTGGACCGATCTTACCTGTTTTGTATATTATTGTGTTTATCACTCTGGCCCGATCTTACCTGTTTTGTATATTATTGTGTTTATCACTCTGGACCGATCTTACCTGTTTTGTATATTATTGTGTTTATCACTCTGGACCGATCTTACCTGTTTTGTATATTATTGTGTTTATCACTCTGGCCCGATCTTACCTGTTTTGTATATTATTGTGTTTATCACTCTGGACCCGATCTTACCTGTTTTGTATATTATTGTGTTTATCACTCTGGCCCGATCTTACCTGTTTTGTATATTATTGTGTTTATCACTCTGGCCCGATCTTACCTGTTTTGTATATTATTGTGTTTATCACTCTGGCCCGATCTTACCTGTTTTGTATATTATTGTGTTTATCACTCTGGCCCGATCTTACCTGTTTTGTATATTATTGTGTTTATCACTCTGGCCCGATCTTACCTGTTTTGTATATTATTGTGTTTATCACTCTGGCCCGATCTTACCTGTTTTGTATATTATTGTGTTTATCACTCTGGCCCGATCTTACCTGTTTTGTATATTATTGTGTTTATCACTCTGGCCCGATCTTACCTGTTTTGTATATTATTGTGTTTATCACTCTGGCCCGATCTTACCTGTTTTGTATATTATTGTGTTTATCACTCTGGCCCGATCTTACCTGTTTTGTATATCATTGTGTTTATCACTCTGGCCCGATCTTACCTGTTTTGTATATTATTGTGTTTATCACTCTGGCCCGATCTTACCTGTTTTGTATATTATTGTGTTTATCACTCTGGCCCGATCTTACCTGTTTTGTATATTATTGTGTTTATCACTCTGGCCCGATCTTACCTGTTTTGTATATTATTGTGTTTATCACTCTGGACCGATCTTACCTGTTTTGTATATTATTGTGTTTATCACTCTGGACCGATCTTCTCCTTATTGTATCGTCTTGTGTTTTTCATTCTGGACAGATCGTATCGTTTTTGTTTTTTTTAATATTGATGTCTTTTTCGAGTTTCTGCTATAAAAATGACGACACATAGAATAGAAAGACGGGTTTTTTTAAATAAAGAGAACATTTGATAATGGTTTGAAACATTAACAATACTGGTGATATATTTCAACAATGACACGTTATACAATATCGATGACAAGTTTTAAGATGGAATCGCCTTATAGTTATCTCCATTGTTAAGTTACTAACACATATATAATGTATTTATAGTAAGTTTTCATATGTTATAAACAGTCCGCTATTTTTCTACAATTCCGTTTTTCGTAATGCAGAGTTATCTACCCTTGTGAGTAGTATTGTTCGTCATTAAGTGGTGGCTCTAACGTCAGAAAACATTGTGTGAAAACGACTTATAATTTTCTCACGCACACTTATGACGTAATAATCAATATCTGCTAATAGAGACCGATAACTCGGCATTACTAGATTAGTGATAAATAACGACATATACGATTGTCACGTTGGTTTTGTGATAGCCGGCTGGTTTAACCACATTCATTACCAAACATTTACATCAACGAAAATTTACTCATTTCTTTACGGCGTTTAGAAACTATTATCAACATGATTACGATTATTATTTTAACGATCGCATTTAAACTGATGATTTATCAAACGCTCGATGTGAATATATGAATAAATGTATTTGATCCTCACGTGAATATCTAAACAAGTCATACATATTCCAGGTGAAAACTATCATATCCAACCTGGTCCCGATATCACATCTTGGACTAAAAACTCAAAATTTGTGTACAAGTAAAGTAGGAATAGCATTTCTCATTTCACAGTATTTTTTCTTAGCTACAGGTTTTAAAGAACTGTTAAGGTCCAAAGACAATGGTGCTAATTCAGTACTTGAGGTAATCACCGTCTGTAATGGCGCGAAGTTACGTTTTGACATTAAAAGGTGTTTTATCTTTATCTATAATACCGTATTAACTTGTCAGTGTGATTATTGCAGGTGATATTTCTGATCAAAAGTCACGGGCATGCTCCTATGTTTCAACTTTCATATATTAACTGTGGTGAGATAATACGTGACAACAATGGACGTTTCCTTAAAATCTGACTTGATATATACATTGCCTTAGATTTATTTCAATATAATAGACAGCCTTCGGAATTTAAAAAAATGGGTAGAAAATGAGGTAGACTTCAGGAATGGGTTTATCGGCATGGACGTCGTGATTATTTATAGAATTATCGCCACTATCGAGTCTTCACATCACTAAGAAGGTCACCATCCTTGTACACTGTTAGTCTGAGTGGCTGGGACAAAACATGCACGTGCTACTTTCACATCGTTAACAGTTTCCTATATAGTAACGTCAGCAAAACTCCTCGATACATTAACATTGACAATATATGGATGCTAGGGAGGAGAAAAAAGTTTTCGAAACAAAATCAACAGCGACTTGATATGTTGATTGTGTTTGAGAACCACATTGTGATTATGTTTCAGCATCACATTGTGATCGTGTTTGGACAACACGTTGTGATCGTGTTTAAGCACCACTTTGTGATCGTGTTTGAGCAACACGTTGTGATCATTTTTTGAGCACCATATTGTGATCGTGTTTGAGCACCAATTTGTGATTGTGTTTGAGCATCATGTTGTGATCGTGTTTGAGCACCACATTGTGATCGTGTTTGAGCACCACGTTGTGATTCTGTTTGAGCACCACGTTGTGATTGTGTTTGAGCACCACTTTGTGATCGTGTTTGAGCACCACGTTGTGATCGTGTTTGAGCACCACGTTGTGATTCTGTTTGAGCACCACGTTGTGATTGTGTTTGAGCACCACTTTGTGATCGTGTTTGAGCACCACGTTGTGATTCTGTTTGAGCACCACATTGTGATTGTGTTTGAGCACCACTTTGTGATCGTGTTTGAGCACCACGTTGTAATTGTGTTTGAGCACCACTTTGTGATCGTGTTTGAGCATCACGTTTTAATTGTGTTTGAGCACCACTTTGTGATTGTGTTTGAGCACCACTTTGTGATCGTGTTTGAGCACCACGTTGTGATTGTGTTTGGACACCACGTTGTGATTGTGTTTGGACACCACGTTTTAATTGTGTTTGAGCACCACGTTGTGATCGTGTTTGAGCACCACATTGTGATCGTGTTTGAGCACCACGTTGTGGTCGTGTTTGAGCACCAATTTGTGATCGTGTTTGAGAACCACTTTGTGATCGTGTTTGAGCACCACTTTGTGATCGTGTATGAGCACCACATTGTGATCGTGTTTGGACACCACGTTGTGATCGTGTTTGAGCACCACGTTTTAATTGTGTTTGAGCACCACGTTGTGATTGTGTTTGGACACCACGTTGTGATTGTGTTTGGACACCACGTTTTAATTATGTTTGAGCACCACTTTGTGATCGTGTTTGAGCACCACTTTGTGATCGTGTTTGAGCACCACGTTGTGATCGTGTTTGAGCACCACTTTGTGATCGTGTTTGAGCACCACTTTGAGATCGTGTTTGAGCACCACCTTGTGATCGTGTTTGAGCACCACCTTGTGGTCGTGTTTGGACACCACGTTGTGATCGTGTTTGAGCACCACTTTGTGATCGTGTTTGAGCACCACATTATAATCGTGTTTGATCACCACGTTGTGATCGTGTTTGAGCACCACCTTGTGATCGTGTTTGGACACCACTTTGTGATTGTGTTTGGACACCACGTTGTGATTGTGTTTGAGCACCACGTTGCGATCGTGTTTGAGCACCACGTTGTGATCGTGTTTGAGTTTTAATTGTGATTGTGTTTGGACACCACGTTGTGATCGTGTGTGAGCATCACGTTTTAATTGTGTTTGAGCACCACTTTGTGATTGTGTTTGAGCACCACTTTGTGATCGTGTTTGAGCACCACCTTGTGATTGTGTTTGGACACCACGTTGTGATTGTGTTTGGACACCACGTTGTGATTGTGTTTGAGCACCACGTTGTGATCGTGTTTGAGCACCACGTTGTGATCGTGTTTGAGCACCACGTTGTGATCGTGTTTGAGCACCACTTTGTGATTGTGTTTGAGCACCACTTTGTGATCGTGTTTGAGCACCACTTTGTGATTGTGTTTGAGAACCACTTTGTGATCGTGTTTGAGCACCACTTTGTGATCGTGTTTGAGCACCACTTTGTGATCGTATTTGAGCACCACATTGTGATCGTGTTTGAGCACCAGGTTGTAATTGTGTTTGAGCACCACGTTGTGATTGTGTTTGAGCACCACTTTGTGATTGTGTTTGAGCACCACGTTGTGATCGTGTTTGAGCACCACTTTGTGATCGTGTTTGAGCACCACTTTGTGATCGTGTTTTGTGATCGTGTTTGGACACCACGTTGTGATTGTGTTTGAGCACCACGTTTTAATTGTGTTTGAGCACCACGTTGTGATTGTGTTTGGACACCACTTTGTGATTGTGTTTGGACACCACGTTTTAATTATGTTTGAGCACCACTTTGTGATCGTGTTTGAGCACCACTTTGTGATCGTGTTTGAGCACCACGTTGTGATCGTGTTTGAGCACCACCTTGTGATTGTGTTTGGACACCACGTTGTGATCGTGTTTGAGCACCACGTTTTAATTGTGTTTGAGCACCACGTTGTGATCGTGTTTGAGCACCACTTTGTGATCGTGTTTGAGCACCACTTTGTGATCGTGTTTGAGCACCACCTTGTGATCGTGTTTGGACACCACGTTGTGATCGTGTTTGAGCACCACGTTGTGATCGTGTTTGAGCACCACTTTGTGATCGTGTTTGAGCACCACTTTGAGATCGTGTTTGAGCACCACCTTGTGATCGTGTTTGAGCACCACTTTGTGATCGTGTTTGGACACCACGTTGTGATCGTGTTTGAGCACCACTTTGTGATCGTGTTTGAGCACCACTTTGTGATTGTGTTTGATCACCACGTTGTGATCCTGTTTGAGCACCACGTTGTGATCGTGTTTGAGCACCACTTTGTGATCGTGTTTGAGCACCACGTTTTGGTCGTGTTTGAGCATCACGTTGTGATCGTGTTTGAGCACCACTTTGTGATCGTGTTTGAGCACCACATCGTGATCGTGTTTGAGCACCACCTTGGGATTGTGTTTGAGCACCACGTCGAAAGTGAACAATATTATTTATCAATTATTAATCCAATAATCGGCCTGTCATGATTTCGACAGGAATTGTAGATGTCGCCACTGTTTGATAACGTCCTGCACATTTTGACTTCAAACCCCGTCAGTGTGTTACTGTTACTGTACTCTGTTATGTGATGAAAATTATCTTTAATTTTCAAAACTATGAAAATCGTCTCGAAGTTTTGATTTTGATCGCAATGGCTCGGAGATATCAAAACTTCTCAGTCGCCATCATAAAATCTCTAACGTATTAGAGTGCAACCTTACGTATACATATAAGATTATAAACGGTACGTCTTTAACAAGAAACTGTTAAACTACAAAAATTAACCCCACTACATTCGAGAATACTATACCACAGCCTAAATAAACTAACAGCCCTCTTCAACTATCAGAATTACAAATACGCATTTTCATATTGGTTATAAACCAGAAAAAGGATGATAGGTTTATGTTAGATCAAATGAATGTCCCTTACCTGGTTTTACAAAAGCAAAAGTGACTAATGATAAGGACGGTATGGTGACTATTGATAAGGACGGTATAGTGACTAATGATAAGGACGATAATGTGACTATTGATAAGGACGGTATAGTGACTAATGATAAGGACGGTATAGTGACTAATGATAAGGACGGTATGGTGACTAATGATAAGGACGGAAATGTGACTATTGATAAGGACGGTAATGTGACTAATGATAAGGGCGGTAATGTGACTATTGATAAGGACGGTAATGTGACTATTGATAAGGACGGTATAGTGACTAATGATAAGGACGGTAATGTGACTATTGATAAGGACGGTATGGTGACTATTGATAAGGACGGTAATGTGACTATTGATAAGGACGGTAATGTGACTAATGATAAGGACGATAATGTGACTAATGATAAGGACGATATGGTGATGCTGGGCGTCATTACCTGAAGAAACTGTAAGCCATAAATCCAGTACTTGATATTTCTTGTCACATGACGTTAAATGTCTGCACCTGTCGATTGTTTCAAGACTTGTAAATTTTACAAAGGGTATAAGTAGACTGTCTGATAAATCGAGATAATTCTTCTTTCGTATCCTACCGGTAAGTTACCCAGTTACGATAGTCCAACAACATAAGTGTGACATTATGCCTAAGGATATTATGTTGAATGCTCTGTCGTGTCGTACAAGACTTTGCTGATAAACTATGTGTATACTTTGTATCATTTACTATTTCTTGTGCACATGTTAATACAGGGAGATTGTTAGTAATATCCTAGCACATATAATTGTACTGCTGTTATATATGGTAGTTAAATACACGTATGTTATATTTTGAAACTTTTTTAACACGAAAGTAATACCTCGAAGTTGACAGTCTATCCATGAAATATAGATAATATAAGTGATGCTATATAGAAAGTACGGAATTATTCATTTGTCTCCATAAAAAGCTGACCAACTGAATGTCAGTAGTAGGCGTTTTGCTCAAGTGACATTATTCTTTTTGGAAATTATCGAATAAATTATTCAAGCAATTCGTCTATATTCTAACCGATGGTGTTGGTTCTGAGATGGGTAGCTAAACGTCACCACGTCCATACATACTAAATTTTCCTTCTTGTTTTTATCATTGTCTTTTAAAATTTTCTTTTATTATCAGTTTTAATTCAGCTGATGCTTTTTTGTCCGCAGACAATGAACATTCTAGGGAGTATAACACTGATCTGTGCCTTAACTGCAGTGGCGCTGTCTGAGAAAGTACGGTACGATGGGTATGTATAAAAATGTCTTTTCATAGAAATATTACAGAGCTTTGTTACATACTTTTCCTGTGTTACGATAATATCTATTTTACTTTATCTTATTTTATTTATTTTCTTACTGTATTTGGATTCTGTTATGTCTTCCTAAATTTTTAATATAAATATTTAAGTCTATAAATTGAAACAAAATCGTAAAACATAATGTTCTGACTGACGCTCATTCAAGGAGCATACTAATCTCAAATAAACACAGATAACAGTATGAAAAATAAGAACATAAGTTGTATTGTAAGGTCTAGGTAGTCGAGGTCATCATCTACGTTTACAGATGCATTTGGTTTTTTTTTTTTATTTTTTGTTTTTGTTTTTTTTTTTTTTTTTTTGTCAATTTTTGGAATTACGGCTTGATATTTGAGGACATAATCCTAATTTGTAAAATTCTTATTAAGTCAAGTTGCATAATGATATTTTCCCAGTTCCATTTTTCGAATGTCGTTTGTGGTATTCGCTTGAAGTTTCAGGTTCTAATAGTTGTACTGAACTGTATTGTGACGTTGTTTACCTTCCTGTCATTCTGTTTAGTTCATTACAACCTTGGCCATATTCAATTAACGTATTCTAAGACCAGTGCATGTTTAATTCATTCACATTTTTTAAAAATTCAAATTTGTATTTGTAAACGAAGTATTACATTTCTGGATTGTTCGTTCGAGATCTCAACATTTTGTCTTATCAAGTTGGACATAGTTAATAATAGTTCATGTTCTTAGACGGTGTTTTAATATTGTAATGTGAAATCGTGAGCACTTAGTTTTCAAGACTTTTGCTGGTTTAGATTTTAATTGTGATATTTTTAACTTCGGAAAAAAATCTGTTCCTTGTATGATTCTGTATCACTCCTATCAATATATAATCATTGGGCAAATTATGAAGTAGAGATACCATATTTTAAATGGAAAGACCAAGTACAAGAGACATGATTGTATGTTGTAGACACAAGGTGCTCAATATCATTCCACGCACTGCAAGGGATGTACACGACATCGTAAAAATGGAGGAGGAATTCCAGGTGACAGCTAAGAATTTTATTGCTTCTTATCAGTAAAGTGTTCAAGTGTTAAGATCGCCTTGTGTGGATTTACATATTTAAAACACTATACGTAATTGTGTTCTTATATTCAATAATTTGACACTAACAGTGTTGTTTAGTAGTTAGAAGGTTAACAATAGCAATTAGATTTTATAGTCAGTATGTTCAATAGGTTTTGGAGAATGGTAATTGTAATGCTATTATTTTCAAAAATATCATATTTGGATACCAAAGATTTTAGTTATTCTTCGGACAAAAATTCTATTTGTGTTGAAGTTTGATTAAAGGTCATTCACTCCCTCAGAATATAAAGCACGCGACATAGTTAATATCGAGAGAATATATATATATATTTTTATTTATTCATAACACATGTAATTATATATTGAGCAGTGAACGATCTACTTGTATAGGGTCTACATAACATTTAGCCCACAATCACACAAATATAGTCGCACTACAATCATCGATATCAGTATCATCACATCACCGTCTGCATGATCATACAATCATTATCAGGAACATTACACCTCGTAGAAAGGCAACAGTCATCGTTATAATCAGCACCATCGTACGTCAATATCAGCACCTCACACATTAGTATCGGCAACATATCACACCTCTTAGAAAGGCAACAGTCATCGTTATAATCAGCACCATCGTACGTCAATATCAGCACCTCGCACATTAGTATCGGCAACATATCACACCTCTTAGAAAGGCGACAGTCATCGTTATAATCAGCACCATCGTACGTCAATATCAGCACCTCACACATTAGTATCGGCAACATATCACACCTCTTAGAAAGGCAACAGTCATCGTTATAATCAGCACCATCGTACGTCAATATCAGCACCTCACACATTAGTATCGGCAACATATCACACCTCTTAGAAAGGCAACAGTCATCGTTATAATCAGCACCATCGTACGTCAATATCAGCACCTCGCACATTAGTATCGGCAACATATCATACCTCTTAGAAAGGCAACAGTCATCGTTATAATCAGCACCATCGTACGTCAATATCAGCACCTCACACATTAGTATCGGCAACATATCACACCTCTTAGAAAGGCAACAGTCATCGTTATAATCAGCACCATCGTACGTCAATATCAGCACCTCACACATTAGTATCGGCAACATATCACACCTCTTAGAAAGGCAACAGTCATCGTTATAATCAGCACCATCGTACGTCAATATCAGCACCTCACACATTAGTATCGGCAACATATCACACCTCTTAGAAAGGCAACAGTCATCGTTATAATCAGCACCATCGTACGTCAATATCAGCACCTCACACATTAGTATCGGCAACATATCACACCTCTTAGAAAGGCAACAGTCATCTTTAGCATTAACATAATCACAATACCTTATGTCACCATCAGCATCTTTACATATGAATTTCATCACACACCACAATCATCACCATCCATACACAGGCTTCATTCAGTCATCATTAATTATGGACTCAAAGATATCCGTTATTATAACGGACAATATTGTGACAATCGTATACATTATAGTTCAAAGAAACAGTTAACTTAACTAGCATTAAACCACTACACCATTAAAGATAAATATTCCTTTATTTACATAGACACATGGTTTTTGTATTTATTTAATGGAGAGAGAGGGCGAGGGAGGGAGAGATGGACTAACAGAGACAAAGCAATGTTAATAGTATTAACAGGGTACTGATCAAGAATACGCATAACCATTATTTTAACATTTATCAAATTTGGCGGGAGAAACTGTCAAGGCCAAGTGAAAAATAAAACAAGAGCATGTATAAGGAAAATGGGTTTTTTAAGAAGTAATATTTTGTTCCATTTGTTCCATTCTTCATTAAATATTTCTTAATAGGTCTCTTCCTTTGATATAGCAATATATCTTTTAACCTTATATTGATCCTTAATTACATTTACCAATGTGTTTATGTCAAGAGAATTCTTAAAACATCTAGAATTGTAAATGTACGGTTTAATGACAATATCAACCTCATTATCAATTTTGATAAACACATTCTGAATAGGCTAGAAACCAAAAGGACTTTTTGTTTATGGGATAAAAATTGCTTCTAAGAGAATTTCTAAGCTTTGTAAGAGATTCTGGACTTTTTCACATTCCCACAGTATTTGTGTTACAATTTTTGTCTCGGGTAAACAGAAAGTACATTATTGACTATCAACAATGTTTGCCTTAAAAATGAATTTGTAGTCAAAATATAATGTAGAACTTTATACTGAAACCACTGAAGTTTAGAATTATTAATAACTTAAAATGGTAACGAGAACATACTTGTCCATGTGGAATCTTCGAAATTTAACTGTTCGACTCTTTTTCTTCCACCTGAAGGAATTTCATTATCTTTTATAAAATATCTTTAGATGTCATTTGTTCTTTTTTCCCGTAAAAAAAAGGCTTCTTTGTTGTAAGGAATAAAAGGCAAAGGAAAATGTAAATCGTATCCAAGTCAAAATTCTTCCTGCTAGTGTTTAAGATTCCTTGAAACCTAATATAATTTGTGTGAATATAAAAATATCTAGTAGCTGATTTTGTGAGAATATAAAACATAACATATTATTGTTCTTCTCAAATGTTTTTTAAAAGCAGATTATCGATATAGTCAGAAAGTGAAAATTAGAAATATTGGACTTTTGTAATGAAAGCAGTACAGCCTATTTTGTCATAACAAAGAGCATATATGTTATGTATGTGACTGTTATATCTCTTTGCGACGGTCAGCTTGACTTTTGGCACCTCCCAAAATACCTCAACGACAGTCTCCATGTGAGAGTAGGCCCACATTCTCTCGAACCTTTTCTAGCCAAATTACGGCAAATGGAGACGGCCGTAAGCATCTGGATCAATGACGTGCAAAGGTATGAATGCCAGTAAAATATGTACGTGTTGATAATGAGCAAATATCTGTGTAATTGCGAACAATTGTTTCGTGCATGTCAGAATGGAAAAACATCACGCTTCGTCAGAAATTAAGAGTTGTGTTATTGCTTAATGAAATCGAGATCTTTCTATTTTGTATCAATTAGCTCGTTTTGATGAGCCAAGGATGTCACTTTCTATATAGAAAACCATATAAAGAAATTGAGAAAAAGAGATTGTTGACTGACGTAAATGTGTACGTTTAACTATAGCCTAGATACTGACGTAATGTTCTCTTAATTACAGCCTGATAGACACGGAGGACAGAAGACGGAGAGAGCGGCGTTCAGTTAAGTTTAATGATGCGTTTATCGATCTGGAGTGGAAATATTTCACACTAGATGAAGTAAGTTAATACTGTTTTATCCTGTACAGGTCCAATAACTTGATTAGAATTGCATATCTTACACATTTTCTAGCATAATTGGAACAATATCAAGGTGCTGTAAGTTAAAACAAAACAGTAAAGCATACATGATACATACTGGTGTTTTCAGCTTCGTGAAAACATAACAGAGCGAAACCATAGAATGTTGAGACGTACACACAAAAATTAATGGCATGCTTATATTATGTAACCATCCGTTGTCCGAGATTTCATTCTTATTACCGTTAACTTACAGAGAATATTGAAACCTTTTGTGTATTCGCATGGCACTGAAGTAATGGTCATTATATCGATTATTGTGACATGGCGATGACATCAATATGACTTCACTGATAGATTATGCGTTATTTTATATATAGATTTGTTAATCAATGGCGTTTTTTACATAATCATTACAGATCAACCAGTATGTTATATGGCAGGCTCAACAAAATAGCTCGTACATGAGCGTGGATTACTTCCCGAACAGAACTGTCGATGAAAACGAAATACATGTAGTGAAGGTAGGTAAAAAAACCTTCATAGCTCCATCAACTACTAGAATGATGCATAATTCGTACTATCATAGCAGTAACACAGGTAAGGTGTCAATTTGCAAAGTGCTGGTCTACCATATAAAACAACAAAAAGCTGGTTGATAAGAATACGGACATCCTTCGTTTATATTAGATCTCTAAATATCAGGTTTTACTGCTGGCTCGTCTAGCTGTTCGACCTGAAGTTTTGTCTTTCCGAAGTCTCTGAGAAATGACCTTACTCGTGTCGACTACTGACCTGTGGGTGAATAGGGTGCTCGGATAAGGAGCAGAGTGGATAAAACAACAACTTACGGTCAGACTGCTTGCAATACAAAATTGCTATTGCGACGAAATGCTTCTTAAGAATTTGATAAATGACTTCACACTCTCGTTCATTCCCCGGACGATCAAAACAATCGTTGGTGCCAGATCCCTCTGGAATCTCTTGTATTTATAAGCCGACATTTGTTCTCCGTCTCTCTTTTATATGGTTTAATACCAATAGAATATAGCAACGGTAAATCTGAGAGTGTCTAAGTAAGCTGAATACAGCCGGACATCACTAAGCTGTACACCACCTTATTGTATTTAAAAAACAGTATGGTGTATGACACAAAACTATTGTATTGTGTAGTATTGTATTGTATTGTATTGTATTGTAGAGTATTGTATTGTATTGATAAACCGAGCTGTCCTTTCCTTTTACACGGTTTTATTCCGTTATATTTTTTTCAGATATCTCACCCGGAAAAAAAGGTTAATCAATCGATTTTTATTGACTGTGGAATTCACGCTAGAGAATGGATATCGCCTGCCTTTTGTTTGCATGCTATCAAACAGGTACGTCCTTGTTATGTAGAGTCTTTATACAACATCACACTGCGAACTTTCAATACTTATGTTAACATTTTCATTCCTAACTTACTGTCTTTTACCGGTTTCAACTTGATATAAAATATAAATACATTATCGGCCGTGCAATAAGTCAAGTGGAACTGTCATTTTGACGGCGAGCCGACGATGTGTCAATGTTCCTATTAATGACGTCATCATAGTCGTGCGCTGGATGCCTTTTACTATTTATCCAGATTGGAAAAGGATATTGCAATTCTGGCTGATTGAGTATGGGGTAAAGAGGTCAAAGGTCAAGACCACCATTGGTAATTAGTGCGATTCTTACCCCTGGAATTTGAAAACGCCCCTTTGTTACTAAAACTGGAAGCCAGGGTGGCTTTGATGAAATCGTGACTTTGGAAGAAAGTTGTCTCTGGTGTTGCCCGATTGGGTTGACTGCATGGAGGAGATTGCCTCTATGAGTGGACTACATGTACGGGCAATAAATCGGTACAGTAACGCCAGTCAACCGTGGAGGTATGCTTTTAAGACAGCGGGATCCGAAGAAGATTCTCTTGACTTAAGCAACAGAAACCTGTTCGTTAAATTATAGCTTATATAAACAAAAAGTCATCAGTGCAAACCTAGAGGAAGATTTCCAACTTCCAACTACCTCTCTAATTATTGATGGGGAATTACTCCGGACCACCAGACAGTGACGCAAGTATAAGTTGACCGATAAAAGCCAATCTTCACACAGGAGTGCTAGCTTCCGGTTGCCTTTCCGGTTGAAAGGTCAAAATTTAAGTCATCATACTTCTAAATAGAAACTAGTCTCTGTGTGATAATTCCAGTTTCGTGAGACCAAATGTTATCACAAATTGCACAAAATGCTTCCCAAACGACATTGCCTTTTTATGTGAAAGGCCAGAGTTAAAGATCACTGTCACAATAACGTGAACATTTATTCCTACGTAGACAAATTAAACTTAGACTTCACACATTGCTTGAGAGAGCTTCCCTGAGATTATTTTTGGGGTCAAAAAGTTAGACATCAAACTATTAAGTTTGGATGACTTGTAAATGTACATGTAAATATTGCCTGTAAATTCTAACAAAAAGGAAACAATGATTTGTTAACACCATTGTAATAAGTCATGCTTCAATAATCAAACTTTGACTGAAGCATCCTTGAAAAATGAGAATCGATTTTGTATAAAAATTATGGATCTTTGACCCCTGGAGCTTGAGGGCCAAATAGGGGGAATTGAGCATATTCTTTAGTCTCCTTCTTTAGAAATGACAGAAATTAAGCATACTGAGCAGTTTTTTTTAAATAATGGCCATTCTCACTCCACACGAACCAGAGGTTTAAGACGGGAAAATGGAAGAAACGCTAAAAAATCCATCTTTTAAAACGAAAATATTTTTTACCCAATTTTGAAAGTAGCTTAATTTTGTATGAACAATGGGCAATACGGTCGATGGCAATTAAGGAAGAAGGGAAAAGCTTAAGCCCCTAAACGATTAACACCCTGGGATCAGAGGGGCGGGGCCAAATAGGGGATAATAAGATAGAAAGGGTCCAATAGAAGATACATATTTAGATTAATTCTCCTGCAGTTTGAATAAAGCAATTGTAACTATCACAAAATCTTACAGATGGTACAAGCCCAGTGGACCTCATGATCTTTACTGAACTCTGAAAGGACACATTTGTTTGTTCTTAGTAAAAGAATTAGTTTTCCAACAAGGTTGAAAGATACTACATTTGAATAGCTATTGTCTTTACTGGAGGATGTTTTTTTTTTTAAACTGCCACTAATGTAAAGTAGAAAATATTCATTGCTGTGTTTTTACGGTGTTATTCTATTACAGTTACTACATGGTAACCACTCGCTGCTAAGTGATTTCAACTGGCATATCGTCCCCGTTCTTAACCCAGACGGTTATGCCTACAGTCACAATATGGTGAGTATATACTAGTGAATTATCAATTAGTTTATCCATTTAGCTATACGTATTGTGAAAAAACTAGCATGTCTCTCTCTGTCTCTGTCATTCTGTCTCTCTCTCTCTGTCTCTCCCTGTCTCTCTCTCTGTCTGTGTGTGCGTCTCTCTCTCTCTCTCTCTCTCTCTCTCTCTCTCACACACACACACACACACACACACACACACATCGATCATCGGTACATGTATGTATGTATATATATATTACAGAGAATAATAATTTTTCCAATTTTGTTTTACAATGACTATTTTATTTTTAAATTTGCATCTTTAAATGGATGTATGTTTTCGTTGTTTAGGACCGACTGTGGAGAAAGAACCGACGAGTAAACGGAGAAAGTCTTAATTGTCGTGGTGTAGATTTAAATCGCAACTTCGGCTTCATGTACGACCCAGGTAATAACTTGCATAATACAACTCTAGCAGACGAAGGTGACAAACTTTGTAATCTAGTTTTTTATGGTGATGATAATGCTTTTGTGGCCAACTTACATGCTTGATAAGAAATCTGTTCTCTTAAAAAATGATAGCTTTATAGAGTAACTTATTTTTGTAAAAGTCATCAACTTAATGTGTAAAAGTTCACTACATTGATACAGAAAAGAAAATGCCCGGCGGCCAATTTTGTTTCAACGTAGGGGACATTTAGGTTTATCAATTCCAACACTGACCGAATCACTGATAATTGTAATGTACAGTCTCATATACCAAATTTGGCATAAAAATGATATGTAGGCGAATTTAACACAGAATTTAAATATTACATTTATATCTACCCGTATTACTGTTTGGTGGAGGTCTCACGTTGACCACTGAATAAGTATCCATACCCTTGACCAGATTGGCGTTCATATAACTGAAAGCTGGTATACATAGAACAAGACGGGAGAATGGTGGTAGAAATGTTGAGAATTGCGCAGCAGTAAAATACGATCAAATGGGCGGGTTTTAATTTGGTTAGCATCGCGTTATAGTGAAAATGAGGAAATGGACAGGCTTCAGTTTAGTAAGAATCGCGTGACAAAAAGGATACTATGGAAGGTTTTTTCGTTTATTTATACACGCGTGACACTTAAGACAAAATAAAATGGTCGGGTTTTAGTTTGGTTAGAAACGCGTGACAGTTAAACAAGATAAAATGAACGGGTTTTAGTTTGGTTAGAAACGCGTGACAGTTAAACAAGATGAAATGGTCGGGTTTTAGTTTGGTTAGAAACGCGTGACAGTTAAACAAGATAAAATGGGCGGGCTTTAGTTTGGTAAGAAACGCGTGACAGGTAAACAAGATAAAATGGGCGGGCTTTAGTTTGGTTAGAAACGCGTGACAGTTAAACAAGATAAAATGGACAGGCTTCATTTAAATGAGAATTAATCAACAGATTTATTTTCAATCCAATTAGGAAGGTTTATTATCAAAATCTATCGGAAAAAAAAACAATAACTGCTTTTTTCCGACTAATTCACGGAGTTATGGTCCTTTATTCAATTTTCAAACCAGTGGCTGCTCGATATCTCAATTAGTTGTCAATGGATTATCTTCAAACAAAGTGAAGTTCATTACCATTATAGTTCAATATGGATAACCGCAACTTTAGGCCTGTAATCCATACAGTTATGGCATCTAATTACAATAGCCTAAACAGTGTCCGCTCGATATTTTCAGCAGTACTCAAAACTTTCCCCTGTTATTTATTGAGTAATGACCTTTGTAAAATTGATGGATCAGTAACTAGAGTAGGTTTCATAGATATTGGAATGTTATTGCCTTGTTGGTGTACTTGTTGTTTCTTCTACCATTACACAGCTGACACTGTTTGTAAATGTTGATCAGACACTCAACATTAATTGCCTTCCCTTTCTTCTCGCAAATTGCTCCTTTGACCTATGACGGACGTAGTAAGTAAAGTCTCGCGGACATCTTGTTTCTTATTTTGTTAATCAAAATAACCTCCAGCATTCATTAGAATTTTTATCTTCAAAAGATGTGTTTTACATGATATAATTTTACTTTAAAATTTCAGATCATTCTAAAGTTTTATATTATGTTGTTTGCTATCAATGACGTTTTTACGATTGCCATAACTCTTAGGTACCGGAGGAAGTATGGATGCCTGTTCCGACATTTACACAGGTACTGAAGCCTTTAGTGAAGTGGAGTCGGACGGTATCAGTCGCTACATTTTGGACAATTCGGATCAGAACTTTGTCGCTTATCTGACTGTTCACTCGTACGGTCAGATGTGGCTCTTTCCTTGGGGATATACTTCTGAAAAGCCGGAAGACTACGCTGACCTGGTAACTTAAAATCAATATAGCCTCATGACTTTAACTATCATCTATTAACTACTAAAAATATCCTTCAATACTCTTATATTTTCATCATAGCAACACTCTTATGAAACAGCAGCATAATCATCACAACATGTAGTGAAGTCACATCCTAACCATACCGACAATCTCATCAAAATGTCACCCCCTCACCACACCGACAATCTCATTAAAATGTCACATCCTCATAACACCGACAATCTCATCTAAATGTCACCCCCAAACCATACCGACAATCTCATCAAAATGTCACCCCCTCACCACACCGACAATCTCATTAAAATGTCACCCCCTCACCACACCGACAATCTCATCAAAATGTCACCTTGTACTGATATGTACTAATGAAGTCATTTCCTACACTGTATCTAAAGTAGAAAGACACATGTCATTTGTTTTAATATCTGTTAGGAAAGCGCCGGATTTGCCGCCATCGAAGCACTGTATGCGCAGAGCCGCACCCGATACAGTTTGGGAACGTCGACTGAAGTTTTATGTAAGTATACCTGCAGAAACCTTGATAGTTTTCGTCGAGTCGCTTGGTTTACTGCTGTTAAATAAGGCGAGGACTTCTTGTCACCTAGAGCATTTCGATGATCAACTAATATAGACAATTGAAAAAAAAATGTACATCTAATTTAAAAAAACATAGAAAAATACCAACATTGCAACTCAAATTCCATAAACAGAGAGGAAAACATTAATTAAAGAAATATTTAAACGAAGACTCCTGAAATAGTACAAAAAAGACCAGGTGTTCCGTAAGAGGAAGCGTTCTCTGCTTCATCCGCGACACCCGCCATGTAAACCTTGGTCAAGTAAGTAATGATACGTTCACAAATGAGAACCATGTATATAATAACGGAACCAACAGTTAAATTAACGAGCATCAAACACGTACAGCATCATATCATACAAAGTAGTAGAATGTTTTTCAATGAGATCGTTATTGCGACCATTAAACTTCCAGAAATGGAAAATTCACAACAAGGAAATCATCACGTTCATTATACGGGTTGGAGAAAAGCTGGCCACCTTTGTTTTCATGTATGCAAAGATGGAGATAAGTAGCTGATGTAGAAGAGTCTGTCTTGTCTTTGGTTTCCAATTCGTGTTGGTATATACTATTGACGTTGTCAATAAATTTCTTGTTATTTAAAGAGAAGACGTCACCAATATATCTGAAAGTGAAATTAAACATCATTGCAAGATGCTTGTGGCCTGTTTTGTTAGCTCTTCAATAAATTTTGCTTCGTATGAAAACAAGAACAAGTCAGCCAGCAGAGGCCACAGTTAGTTCCCATAGGTATGTCAATAGTCTGTTAGAAGGTCTTACCGCCAAACGCAACAAAGCTGTTGTCAACAAGAAACTCGATCGTATCTTTTGTTTTCGTCCTCCGTATATTTCTTCTTTGATTTGGACATATATTTTACTAAATACGATTCGGTATAGTTCACAGCCGTATATTTATACCGCCATTCACCTTCCTTGCAGGAGAAAGCTCTAAAATTTACAACAATCAAAACGGTTGAATTGTTTTCTGATACGGAGATCAACAAGTTAACTTACACAATTAAAATGTGTGAGTTTTATTTTGAACTAATTGCCATAGATTTCAATAGCTATGGTTGATTGAAGCGAGTTCTTCGGAAAGATGGATGTATTATTCTGTGTCAAAGGTTTCACTCCTTTGTATAAAAGTATGGATAATCTTAAGGCATTTATCATTTTATCTCCTGTAAATGAAGCATGATCTGGCAGCTAATTATCATTTATCATCTGCAACGTAAACAGACTAATTTACAGCAAAATGATAAAAGTTGAATTATTTATCTGGTACCGGTGTTAATAGATTAAATTACAGCAATAAAACTGCTTAAATTCTTTATCTGGTACCGTGACAATATGTTAACTTGCATCAATAAAAATGCTTAAATTATTTATCAGGTGTCGATGTTAATACATTAAATTACAGCAATACAAATGCTTATATTCTTTATCTGGTACCGATGATAATAGATTAACTTACAGGAACGAATTCCCACAGATTTACATATATATCTAGTGAAATAGCTGCTGAATTAATTGTCTGGTGCATCAGATAAAATGCCGGTAATACGTAAGCTTCTAAATAATGTGAGCGAAACAAACACTTTTGTTGATGTATTCGTCATTTGATTATTTTTAGGTAGGTAAGGTGTAATGTAATTCGTATAAAATACAAGGTAATTGATCATCGCAGTGGTGATGGATTGGTGGTATATAGAGGAATGGAAGATCAATTGCGATTTATAAGAAACAAAACTTGCCTGGTTATCTCGAGACTGCAAAGGTGGAACGGTGATTCATACAGAACACAACTTACTTTGTTATATCGAGGCCGAAAAAGTGGAGTGGTGATTCATGGAGAACAGCTTACTTCAAGATCTCGAGGCCGTAAAAGTGAAGTGGTGATTCATAGAGAGCACAGGTTGTCTGGGTATCTCGATGCCATAAAGTGAGAGTTGTGATTTATAGAGAGCACATCTTGCCTGTGTATCTCGAGGTCGTAAAGTGAGAGTGGTGATTACAGAGAGCACAGGTTGCCTGGGTATCTCGATGCCGTAAAGTCAAGTGGTGATTTATAAAAAGCACAGGTTGCCTAGGTATCTCGAGGTCGTGAAGTGAGAGTGGTGATGAATAGAGAGCACGGGTTGCCTGGGTATCTCGATGCTGTAAAGTGGAGTTTAAGACCGAGGTGGACTGAAATAATTGATAAAGAACAAGATTATCATATTACAGGAAATAAGCCATGCTAAATGACGAATAAAGTAGACTAGTGAATCGGATTAATTGAAGATAAACCATTTTACAGAAGTGAAGTTGCTAAATTATCAACTGGAAGTGATGGTCAGAGAATTTCCTATTAGTACAGAAGTGACTGAATTCTTACGAAAGATGTGAGAGAATTCACATTTGATAGCTTTCACCGATGGAGTTATCTATCAGGATCGAGGTTGGCTCGTAGCACGCGGTTTCAAAAGAGATCTAGTTAATGGATATGAAGTTTTACGATCGTTATAGTAATCTCATTGAGAAATATTCTATTCCGTTGTGCGATATGAAGCTGGACGCGTTTGATGTTGTCGATGAAGCAGAAGACGCTTACTCTTCCAGAACATCTGATCTTATTCTCTTTGTATTTTTGAAGGAGTCTCTATGTAAATGTTTGTTTTGTTGATAGTTTGCCATAGAATTATGGAATCTAATTTTGGATTATAGCTATGTTCAAATGTTGATATTTTTATGTGCTTTTACCTAATGTGAACAACGCTTCTGAATTATTATTATTATTATTATTATTTTTGTCGTTAGTGGTCTTATTGGGAAATATTCTTTTTTTTCTAATTACAATAAGAACTTCGACATGCTTGATGCTCTTCAACTTGCTCTGCAACTGGTTTCTTTACTATGTCACATCATGGTTTTCTTATGAAAATGGCTTCATTGGGACTTTGTACTGAACGGCTGATACACGCATAGATAGTTTAACGGAATTCCATTTTATAATTATGTTGCATGTGCGGTGTGAAATAGGTACAAGCGGATATTTTTTTAATGTAAAGTTTTCTTAATTCAACAGATTCGGCAGCCGGAGGATCCGATGACTGGGCTAAGGGTGCAGCGGAAATAAAATATTCGTACACTCTAGAACTAAGGGACAAAGGACGATATGGTTTCCAGTTACCTGAGGACCAAATTTCTGATACTGTCACAGAAACTTGGGAAGGGGTCAAAGCTCTAGCTAAAGAACTCAAAGCAAGAATTTCTGGTGTTCCCTCCTAAATTTCCACTACTCTGACGGATTCGCTCCCCTCTGAAGAATTTTCTTGTTTTCCAGTCTTTTCCTATTAGAGATATTGTAGTTGCTAAAACAGATTCACGTGTTAACCTTCACCAAAACTTAAGAAAAAACGTATGTGACACATTTTTAAAATTCGAACTTTGTAAGTCTGAATTAAAAATGTCAAAAAAGATGATTGGCTTTACTTTACTTTATGGTTCTCTCAGGGTATCATCTGAAAACACCGGATGACTTGGATAAGGTCATGTTTACTTCACATTCTCCGTAATTTTATTTTTCGATCATATTGTATATATACTGTAATCAAACACAATTTCTTAATCGTCTACGTCATGGTCGCAATATAATTCCTCCAGAGTTGTTAAAGAAACATGACTCTATTTACTATAAAACTGGCCCTATGTTTGGTCATGTCTCTTCTTTGTAAATTCGTTTCCTTTTCGCCAGATCTGTATGTTTAATTATTGAGATTTATTTTATTTGCCATACAGCATGAGCATGGTTTATATATCAGCATACACTTTCTGAAATACATGGTCCTATTTACGTCCTAGTTATGTATTGGATTTTATCATACTTAGCCTTCTGTACTCTGGAGTTACTTTATCTAGAAAGGAAGTATGCAAAAATGAATTATCTAGATATCCTGAAATTAGAAACAACTCTTCAGATAAGACAGTGATTGTTGTAGGAAAGTAGGTTTACGTGGTGACGAGAGGTAAACTAACGTCTTCATCACACACGTGACCAGACTTACAGGAGAAAACGGAACGAAGAACGCAGTAAAGAAAGATACAATACACAATATTCACCAAAAAGGAAATATACAAATCTTATTATATTACACAAGAAAATGTCTTTAAATTGTGATTCCCCATTAACTAAAATATGTCTTTTTCAATAGCACCAACTTATAAAAATGTCTTAAGTGCCGTCGATTAACGACAAACATTTTACTGACCAATCAATAAAATAGAGTATAATTGAATTACAACCCTAAAGGTAAAATATTACAGATGATCCAAGTCACTTTTAAGATGGTGAATTTGTTTATGCACAAAATGCGGGTGACCATGACGAACAAATGTTTTAGATTTCCGCATTAGAACACGGATTACTCTTTAGCGTCAAGTCAAAACACATTATAGATTTTCTCCTTTTAATTATCCAATAGGATAATGATAACAACAACCATTAACTGTATTTTCACAGCGACAGAGGGTACTGCATGATTTATTGCCACATCGTTTAATATTTAACAGAAACATGTATTGTTCTTCATAAGCACGCGCAACTTGCTTACATTTGAAAACAACTTCAATTATTAAATACTGGTTTGGATTGAATAGCAAACGAAATTATCTAAATTCATTTCAATTGATTAATATTATTATAATTCTTCCAAAAAAACTTAATAAGCTTACGGGAAAAAAATCCTTACACCTACTAAAAACAAAAAATTGCGTGTGTACAGCGCTACCCGAATCGCCTGAATGACGGACCCGGGTACCAGGACACGTGTATTAGCACGACTCGCACGTGCTAATACCTAACACGCCACCTATTGAAAAAACATACCACGGAGAAATTAATTTCATCCTTATTCCCCAGTCAAACGGATGAAATTGTATTTCTCAACTAGAAGACGTTTAGAGATTACCTGATACCTCCAATAATCAAAACGAGGAACAGGAAAAGACGTAATTTTTTATTCCAACAAATTAAAAAAAAAAAATTTCTCCATTAAATTGCAAGAGTAGAATATAAGATTTACATGTATACGTTACGAGTTTTTAGACAATTTTGAAATTTGCCTCAAAATTGCCTAACGGTAAAAATACTTGACACTTTTCCATGTACATTGTTATGTACACATTGTCATAAGCAGTAGTTGTCACATTTGGACCAAAATGTCCGTGATTGTAGTCACATAGGTCACTGATCAACGGGATAACATCACTTTATAGTTAAATTAAATCCATAGTGTTTTATCAAGTAAGAACATATATTATCAAAAAACTATGCCCAATAATATCTCCTTTTTATCACAATCCTTTTGTTGATAAACACACATATCATTGTCACTGTGTCTTCACACATGTTAACTCCCATTCTATACACACAGTATCCACACCGCAATCGTACATCTAAATATATATATCGATACATAGGCACATATCATTCATGTTATCGAGCCAAGTAAGTTTTTTAATGTATTGTTATTTTATACCTGGTTCAGGAATTCCTTTGAGCTTGAGGTAACGGGACCATCTTTAAAATTACAAGAAACAGTACACTGGGTTTGTAATGACAGAAACAACGGCTGATTATCCCAAACACGTCAACAGAACAATGCCAATTACAAAAAAAAGTGTCGCTGAATTTTGGGCGAAGCTATAGTACACCAAAGACATTGTGTACCGTCTACAATGTCTCCTTACTTTACATTGTATCATATGCTGTTTAACACTAATCAAATCGAGATTGGCCGAGATTTATATGGCGAGCGTCGTCAATAAAACAGAAGACGCTTACAACTCCGGAACACCTGATTTTATTCTGCTTATTCATTCTAGGTGCTTCCTTGTAATAGTTTATATCAAATTTTTGTTATAATTGAGATTGTGTTGATATCTCAGTGGTGTTTTTATCATATTTATTTCGGAATTGCTTCTCTTATGTCACAAGTCACGATCAAACTATTTAATAGAGGACTTGCGTGAGTTTTGACTGAGCTCGAATATTTTTATCTTTGTGGCAATTAAATCGACTGATATGCAATGCATACCTAATAACTATTTGAAAGAGGTAAAAACAAATGTCGTGCAATTTAAACAGAATGGGAAACAGACCTTGTAGATTCTTAAGAATCAATATACCAATCGTACGAAAACCTCTTGGAAATCTTGTGATCAATTTCAAAAGGAAATTCATGTTGTTTGAGGTCCTTTAAAAATATCAACATACACACAATGTTAGGATTAAGTCACTGGGATAGCTACATACTATTGAGTATTGAGAGTTAGGGTTAAGTCACCATGGCAACTACATACCATTGAGTATTGATATTTAGGGTTAAGTCACCATGGTAACCATATACCATTGAGTATTGGTAGTAAAGGTTAAGTCACCACGGCAACCATATACCATTGAGTATTGGTAGTTGGGGTTAAGTCACCATGGTTACCACATACCATGAAGTATTGGTAGTTAATTTAAGTCACCAAGGTAACCACATATCATTAAGTATTGGTAGCTAGGGTTGTCACCACGACAACCACATACCTACGAAAGTAAGCCATGGCCTTATTGGAAAGAATTCCAAGGAGTTTTATTAAATAAATAGTTATGAGATTTCATAAAGAAACCCAAGAACGTGGAGAACGTGACCAATCCAAAATCGTTTTTTTAGATGTAGATTAGAGAGAACTCTAAGGAGCTTTTAATAAATCTGGAACGTCTAATGCTGAGTTAAGTCTCTCCTATTAAAAGAACTTTTGATTATTTTACACTGTCAATTAACATATCTCATTCTGAATCATAGAACGCAGATACCAACATTCGTTGAAAAGAAAGCTCTCATATTTTTATCGGGTACAAGTTTGTGGGTGTGAGCTACAGTGGAACGTATCAAGACGAAATATAGTGAGACCGAATTTTTTAATCACTGACTGGCCGCAATATCGTTGTTGAATTTTATGGAAAGATCTTCTAAAAATACTTGTATTGATATACCGCTCAGCTGAACTGCAGAAACTGTTATACTATAAAACACAGTCCTAGTTAGGCGATATGTCAAAAGAAGTTATATGTCCTGTGATCACGACTGATATTAAGTTATAGTGAATATTTGTTTCCACTATTAGACAATTTGGATATTGGAGAATAAAAATGAATTCACAAATTGCCATTTGTGTTGTAATCAGTTTATTGTAAAACTAGGAGAAACGTCACCGTGAGTGACCTATTATATATTGGTCAAATATTGAAAAAAAAGTATATTGATTTTCCAGGAACTGATGAAACAATGAAGAATCTAAAAACAAGAACGATTTCCGAACCCTATCGTCGAAAGAAGGATGTACATAAACTACATATTATGACTTTTTTCCGATAAATGACTAGTTTTAATCATTACAGAACAAGGAGTCAAACGATAATAGGTGAATATCCGTACCTAGGACATTTATTAGTTATGTATCAATATACAAGCTCTGTTTCTGCGCAATTTCTAATACACACAAAATCCATTTCCCGATCATTCTTAATCAGATAAAAAGACAAACTCTATTTTGTAATTGTTAGGCTGACTATCAACTAGTTAGTGGGAAATTTTAACTTGATATGCCATTACAAACTGCGTGTTGACACAAGCTTCGACCTATACAGCTGTAAAACATTTCTCGGTTTAGAGTAAACATCAGTGTTGAATCCCCAAGTCAGTAACTAGTAACAGCAATAAGTTAAAATAGTGACAAAATTCGGAAAAAGATATCCTTTTTTCATACATCCCAGTACAGCATCCACAATAGTGATAAAAAAAAGAACATGTGATAGCAATGACGTCAGGTCCGAAAGTTGTAAATATGATACTCTTTCTTGTTAATTGGTACTTTTTTATCAATCTAGTACAGACTGAAATCTATTTCATCCTGCTTTTCCCATCAATATATTCCGTAGTGGTACATAAAGTACCCTACACACTTTTTACATCACGTGTCTATTCCCGATGATTGCATGGTAATGACATTCTAAATCCTTAACATAATCTTTTGACTGTTACTGGGTTTGTCTCTTTGTCTCTGTGATATATCGTGATGGTATAACCTTGTACCCTAAGTCTTAATCTTTTGACTGTTACTGGGTTTGTCTCTGTGATATATCGTGATGGTATGACCTTGTACCCTGAGTCTTAATCTTTTGACTGTTACTGGGTTTGTTTCTTTGTCTCTGTGATATATCGTGATGGTATAACCTTGTACCCTGAGTCTTAATCTTTTGACTGTTACTGGGTTTGTCTCTGTGATATATCGTGATGGTATAACCTTGTACCCTGAGTCTTAATCTTTTGACTGTTACTGGGTTTGTCTCTTTGTCTCTGTGATATATCGTGA